AGTTCTCAGTGGAGATCGTAGTATCAGTAAAACATCTAACTTCAAATATCTTGGAGGGACTACAGTTTTGAGATTTAAGTGAACTTGGAACTTGGATCACCATGAAGTTCTCAGTGGAGATCACCGTGAAGTTCTCAGTGGAGATCACCGTGAAGTTCTCAGTGGAGATCACCATGGCAACAGAGATGAACTTTGGTTCATAAAATAAAAGTGAAGAAATTAGCAGTGAAAAAGTCATTATGTTTTATTAGCGGCACCACTGAGGTGTGAGATCGGTTCTCATTTTTTTCTGTTTATAATTCTGCTCCAGAAATGGAAATGGAACCGTGCAGAGAACAGAACCAGAACCAGAACCAGAACCAGTCCATTCATCCATCCATCCATTCATCCATCTTCCATCATCATCCATCCATCCGTTACCAGGTCACGGGGGCAGCAGTCTCCACAACCTCCACCCAAATCACCCTGCACCCCCCCCCCCCCCCCCCCCCTATATTAAATAGTTCACTCTGCAGACTCTGAGTGAGGGGGAACACACACACACACACACACACACCTCTGTGACCACTGTTTCTGTGGCTGGGTCATCCTCACCCCCCCCCCCCCCCCCCCCAAAACCCCCCCCCCCCCCCCCCCCCTATATTAAATAGTTCACTCTGCAGACTCTGAGTGAGGGGGAACACACACACACACACACACACACACCTCTGTGACCACTGTTTCTGTGGCTGGGTCATCATCACCCCCCCCCCCCCCCCCCCCACTAAAAGCTCTGTTTCCATGGCGACCTGCAGCAGGAGCCCTGACTCACGGTGGTTGTTAATGTAACAACAGTCACTTTGACTGTTACTGTGTACTGTGTACTGTGTACTGTGTACTGTGTACTGTGTACTGTGTACTGTGTACTGTGTACTGTTCACAGTATTCACTGAACAAGTACTGAATACAGTGTGTTTTATATATTTATATATATTTGTCCAGGTACTTCAGTCTAATCTGTCCATCAAATTCTCTCCATTAAAAATAACTAAGAACTGATTCATTAGCTCCAGCCCCCCCGACC